GTCTCGGTGAAGTCCCGTCCGTGCTCCTGATCGAATCCACGCACAACCCAGCGTGCTTTGAACTTCTCAATTGTGCCGTCTGCTTTTGTTTTAACGCGGAAGACCCATTTCCCGGTGAGAATGGTCTTGTTCCTTGCCACGCTGATGGGGACAACTTTCCAGGTGTTCCGTTCCTCCAGCGCCTTTAACTCTCTGTCCATGGCTTCACGCCATTTTTCCCTGTGTTCCCCCCCCAGAGCCTGCTGAACCGTCGCAAGCTCCTTAGGAAGAGTGTTGCCGTGGACTGCGGTGACGAGTCCGAGAATCTGCAGTCCAGCCTGTGAGTAGCGGGGAAGAGTTGCATCCTCGGGATAAGCTGCTTCATCTCCCGCTTCTGGATCAGGTATGAAATTCGGTCCTACTCGTTCTGCTTCGTTGGTGTTGACTGTCGCAGGTGTTACGTAACCGTTGTCGGCGAAGTAGTAGAAGGTTTCGGCGTTGACACTTTCGCGAGGGTTATCTTCGTCCATGGGGACGTCGACGGAGCAGAGCGGAAGGGGTCCAGCTTCTTCTGATGCGTTGGCCACATTCTGCTCGTCCCAGTCAGCTTCGTCTGCTGCCGAGGCGAAGGCTCGGTCACCACGAAAACCACCTGTGGGATCTTGGTCCTCTTGCAGGTTGGCAAGGTATGTCTGGAGCGTGAGTCGTTCGTAGAAAATGACGTCGCGTGCTGCTACTGTTTCCTTGGAGTGGACGTCAAAGATTTTCCACGCGTTGTAGTTCTTTTCGATGCCGAGGTGTAGTCCCCACTGTGCGCGTTGTGAAAATCGGCCCGCTCGTGCTGCTGGGGGTCGGTACTGTACCATGCATCCGAACACTCGTAATATTTTTGTGCTGCCCTGTTTTCCTGTCCACAGCAGATGCGGTGATGCGTTGTTCGGTAGTGATGAAGATGAGAGCAAGTTGTGCAGCATGACAGCGTGGTCCATCGCGTCAGGCCACTGGTGGTTGGGTAGCCGCATGCCACGCAACAGTTTGCGCATGCTGTTCTGCAGAGTCCTGTTCATTCTTTCTGCTACACCTTGCTGCTGATGGGCGTAGGGAAGAGAGAGGAGCTGCTTGATTCCCCTTTCCGCCAGGTACTGCTTGAATCGCTGAGAGGTGTATTCTCCTCCTCCGTCAGACTGGAAGCTTTTCAGCTTTACGCCCGACTCTCTTTCTGCTACTGGTAGCCAAGCAGCGAATGCTTCGAGGACCATGTCGCGGCTGGGTAGGTTTAGATGCCAGACGTAACGGGTGGCGGCGTCGATGAAGGTGATTGTGTAGTTGTATATTACTTGTCCTGGTTCCCGATTGTACAGGATGCCGCTATACACCTTTTCGAGTGGTGCGTACGCGGGTGTGCTCGGGTTGTGATGAGGAGTGAACGGCCGATGTGGTAAGTCGGCTTCGGGGCAGGTAAGACATGTTCCTCGTGCCCGTTGAAGTTCTCTGCCGTCGAGTAGTAGTAACGAGTCCTTGTCAAGGACTCCTGCTCTTATTGTGTTGTTTAACACAGTGTTGCTTGGGTGTCCCATGCGTGCGTGCCAGATGTCTTCGGAGGCGCGGTGTCCGGGTGAGCGTCGATACGCGTCGGAGTTGGAGTAGAAGCTGGCGGTGAAGTTTGCGCTTCTATGGACTTCCCGTTGAGCCAGATTCAGCTGCTGTGCGGGTGTTGGTGGTGCTTCGTCAACGAGGAGTAGTGTCGTTGTTGCTGCTACTGTTGTTGTTCCTGCTACTGCCGATGATGTCTCTGCTGCTGCCGATGATGTCTCTGCTGCTGCCGATGTTGTCTCTGCTGCTGCCGATGTTGTCTCTGCTGCTGCCGATGTTGTCTCTGTTGCTGCCGATGTTGTCTCTGCTGTTGCCGAATGTTGTATTGTTACTAACGCACGTGTTTGTTCTGCTTCAGGAATGATATGTGAATACCAAAAGCCTTCCGGACTGAAGTCGGGGTCGAGATCCGGCGGGTGCGTCCAAGATGTGAAGGTGACGATCACGTCACTGTCTGCGGTGCCCAGGTCTGGGACGAAATCGAGAACGAAGACATTGTTCTTCAGGACCGCCTTTCCGATGTAGAGGCCGCCCTTCCCGTGGTACAGCTTGAACTCCTGGGTGGTACTGTCGGCTTCCAGATGTATGCATTTCGCCATCAACTGACTGACACTCAGTAAGTTGTAGCCAAGTCCTTCTGCTATTAGGACTTTGGACATTTGCAGTATGACATTCGTCTCTCGTGACTGAAGTTGCACTACTCCTTGTCGTCGTGTGCGCAGGTTCTGATTGTTGGCGACAGTGATGACGACTTCTCGTTGAAGTTGGTGCTCGCGTTGAACGAAACGTCCTGAAGAGCACATATGTTGTCCGCAGCAACTGTCCAAGAACCATGTATCCTTCCCGGACGGCTCGCTTTGAGCGATGGCGGCGTACGTCGGGTTCGGTTGAAGTGACTCGCGGCGAGGCGTGCTGTTGTCGAGTTGTTCTTCTGGTGAGTAATATGGTGGTGACTCAGTTACGCAGGAGTCACTCAGCCTTGCCATGCAGCTGACGATGTTTCTTGTTCCTTTCGCAGGTTGTCCCGTCGATGTTGTTGAGACTTGTACTGAAGTTGTCGGATTTGCTTGCGTTGAGGCGACTTGACTGCTTGAAGGGCGAAGTTGGCGTTGCGGCGACGTTGACTGTTGTCGATTCGGGCAGTGCGTACGAGGATGCCCTGAAGTCTTGCAGAGGTGGCAGAACGGAGGTACGATTTTCGGTCGATTGTTGTTGTTGTTGTGGCGCCGTTGAGTGTGAAACGCGAATTCGGGCACTGATACCTTTCTCTTGTGTCGTTCTTCTTGCAGGTCCATGTCTTGCTGCTCGGCGTGGATTTCGGCGCAAAGTGCTGCTTCAGAAATTTTCTCGTGGGCTCGTAGTATGGCGCGAGTGGAGCGCCAGTGAGGACCAAGACCGCCGATGACAACCGTGACGAAGGCGTCCTCTGAAATCGATCCTCCACATCGAAGAAGCTTGTCGCGCAGCTCGCGGCAGCGACTGATATACGCCATTCCCTTCTCGCCTGGTTTCATTTCGATTGTTGTCAGCTGCGCCATTAACCGACTTTGGTTTACGCTGTCTGTTGCTTGATACAGGCTCTTCAAGTGATTGTACGCGAGCTCCGCGGAGTTGCCGTAGCCTCGGTAAGACCGTATGTTTTGTTGTTGAGTTGGAGTGATGTTCCTCAGTAGTATCGTGTACGCCATCATCGATTGATAGGTGTACTGCTGCTTCTCATACTGTGTGCCGTTTGTTGGGTATGGCAGGGACCCGTCGAAGAAGCCAAGGATTTGCGCTCCTTCCATCATCAGCTCGAATTCGAACGACCAGGTAAAAAAATCCTTCACGTCGAAGGGTTTTGTCGTTTGCAGTTTTAGAACGTGCGCGAACTGCGACTGAACTTGTAGTGCGTCCAGCGTTCTCTCTTGTCCCGGTGCAGGTTATGGTTGTGGCATGAAGCTGACGGAGCCGCGCTGGGGCTCGTACGGAGCGAAGGTAGGTTGCTGTTGTTGATTCCCGCGTGCGTAGGATGAGCCATCGAGACTCATGGGCGTCACGTTGTTGTTGTTGTTGCTGTTGTTTGATTGCGCAGGTGCTCCTTGCTGATGCTGCTCGTAGAAGGACATGAAGGAGAAGAACTTCTCCATCATGCTTGGATCGAAGCCCGCGCCTTGGTTTGCGGGTGTTTCAGTAGACCCAGCTGCCGGTCTCGTTGTTGTGCCTTCCTCTGTCTGTAGGCCAGAGGCAGGAGGTGGAGTAGGAGTAGTACCAGGAGAGCCGTTGGAGGAGCTCCTCTCCTTTCTGGTAGACATGTCTCTTGGTGTATTAGGTGTTAAGGAGAAATAATTTTAACCCTAACCAGCTCTCATACCATGTTGGGCTGAGTGCCCCTTAGGATCTTTGGTAGGGTTAAACTCTGGGTAGAGTGATGTAGTAGCGGAAGCGTTTAAATGAAGTCCTTGAACCACCTTGCGCTGGTATGTGAGGGCAAAGTAAGTTGATTAAAACAAGGAAGTACAAAGGTTTATATAAGAGTACAAAGAATACGAAGAGATATAATTAAACTGTTTTACTGTTGCGGTTCGATACAGTGCGACTCGGGCAACTGCTCAATGTCGAGTCAGTTGTGTGTCCTTGCTGTCGCGCTGCATTTGTCAAGTCAAAGGTCGCTGACCTTTGACTTTCGCGTAACCTCCAGCGGTTACTTCAACCTCCGAGGGTTGACTCGCTGGTGCCTCGATATGCTCTGCTTCGCTTGTGCCTTGGTGTTTCGACACGACAGAGGCGCTTAAGATTGTTTGTTCCCAACATACCAGAGCTGGTTCTGTCTGCTTGCCATATCGATTCTTAGTCATTTACGGTACTAAAAATCAGTTCATATTAGTCCATCAACAGGCGCTTGTGCTCTGACACATGAGTGATATTTATCGGTAAGCACACGTTGGGCTGTGTTGTGTGTCTGAGAAATCGACTAGGAGGGTTAGGATGTAGGCACAGTATGTGTGTTATTTTCCATTAAAGCAACTCATCAGGAAGTTGATCTACCTTGAAGTAGAGCACCTTTCAACTCACCACAGCGTAGAGTTAATCATAGACCTTACACTGGAACAAACTCAAAACGAAGTTAATGAAAATGGTATCAAACAAACACCAATCTGTAATCCCAACAGTCTGCTTCTACAAGCATACGGTAGTTCTCACACACTAAGCATGTTGTCCCATCCCCTTCCATGCTGTTCTCCTCTCCCGCCCTGCAGCAGCAAATGTACAGCAGCACACAACCATCCCATGCATCATCACCAGCAATCCCTCCTTTCCCCCCTGTTCATCTGCCCCACACAAACCCACCCATCCCCTGTTCACAACAGGCCCTCTTTCTCTCTGCCCAGCCAGAGCAAGCACAGCAGCAATCCGCCATCCCAGGCACTACCAGCTTCCCCATCTCTCTAAGCCTCCTGGCCCTGCTCAGCTGCTCTTGAAGCTGCGCGCATCTTCTCCCTCTGCTCCCGCGTGAGCCTTACAGGACGCCTGCGCCTGCCGCCCAGCATTCCGCCCCTTCCCCCTGACACTTCCGCCCCGGGAGCCTCACCCTCGGGCATTTCCGCGGGCAGGGCGACAGACGCGTTGGTGAACGCGCTGAGCACCACGAAAGCCAGAATCGGCGATAGATCGAGGGTTCCCCCAATTGGGGGAATCAACCCTCGGAAAATGTTCAGGTAGGGGTCGCAGATGGTGCTGAGGGGGCTGACGATGGCGGAAGGAGCGTTGGGGAACCAGGTGAGGAGAATCCTCACTATAAGCACAGTGTTGTACAGGTTAAGGAAGCTGTAGATTCCCTGTGTGACGACCAGCTCCGCTACAGTATCGCCGGGAATCACGGCGGCGAAAGGCGCGTTCGGTTGCTTCATGAGCAGGTGAAGGGGATCCGCGGAGGGGGAGGCGGAGGGGGAACCAAGCAGGGGGAGGCGGAGCCGCTCCCCCACCAGCATCAGCGCGTAGTACACGTCAGCAAGGTGGTCGAGTGCGGCTTCCGCCACCTCCTGCGCGAATCCCAACGCGAACTGGCGCGCGAGTGCCACGTGGCGCTCGGCGATTTGCTGGAGGTCGCGGAGAGGGGAGGGGGAGGTGGCGCGGAGCGCGAATGGCTTGGTGGTTGCGCTCATGCGGAGGAGGGCGTGAGAGAGGGGGGAGAAGGGGAGCGCGGAGGCGGGGAGGACGGCGGAATCCGCGGAGAGGGTGGGCGCGGAGGCGGAGTAATGCGCGCTGCAGGGAGGGGGAAGAGTGCAGGCGAGGGCGAGGGCCCCTTGAAGGAAGTCGGAGGAGTTTTGAGCAGCCATGGCTCTGATGGACGGGGAAAAACGAGAGAAATTTTAAAATTTGGAGAAAATACTTATTATTGGTGAAGGGACGGGCACGAAGGGTTCATACTAAACGCCAGGGACCTTTAAAGGTAGCCGGCTATAAGCTGCTTTGACTCTGATGAGGAGACGAGATAAGCGGAAAGGGGGATGTCCGGGATAGGAAGGGAGGAAACGGAAACGTCGTTAGTACCGCAGCTAGAGTGAGGATATGGGGGAGCGTAGGGAAGTATTCGCACCGAAAGCAAAAAGCGAAGGCGGATAATGCAGCATGAAATGGTGATGTAGACGTAATGCAATTTCACTATGTCCGGCTTTGATTCTACGTTCTTCATCATCCCTTTCCCCGCTTCCTATCATTTACAGTACGGTGCTCTCGATGCATTTCTATTTACGATGGTATGGTGCGTACACACCCTTGAGGTATTACAAGATAAGCATTCGAGAAGACCAGTAGAGAAAAAAGCGGACTGGACATAACACCCTGCTAGCTCCGAAACAGCAGCATTGCTATCTGAAATCTTAGAATGTGTCGGAAGAACACTCATAAGCTACGGAGGAATGCATCCAAGTCTGCAAGAATGAATTCACGTGACTGATGCTCACGTTATCAATGCAAATTCCTCACCTCGAAGAAAGTCAATGACGCACAAGTTATTCTGTCGCACCAAGTTATGACCTCGTGGGAGTTCAGCAACTAAGTCAGGTACAGGCGTGACAATCTGGAAACAGAATGTCAGAGTGAACCGCTTGACACCTCTTCAGACAGCATGGTTGATTTGAGAGAGCCAAAGCAGGTCGTGCTGGTTGTGCTTGTTGTGAAAGCAAGAGCGGATTGATTGCATTCATCCGTCGTACCTGGCCCCGTTCATAGCTGACGTGGAAGCAGATCATACGCTCGTGTCCTCACAAAGAATATTATTTCGAAACGTGGACCACTACAATCCATCCTGTCACGCTTGCACACTGCACCTGGGCTACAGATCCCGACATCTGCGGCTGGGTTGCCCAATACAATATAGCTATGTTTTAATGAACCTGGTTACGACCATTCAATAAAACTTATCTTTTCATGTACCACACCCCAATACCGTACTGTACAAAGCTATTGAAATGCCATAATTCTTCTTCACTTGCACGTACGGTAGTACATGATTTCTAAGTGATTAGGGGAGATTAAATAGACTATATCCAAACGAACACAAATAGATCACTGATTTGTTGAATCAAACAATAACATTGCCAAGCGAACGTTCGCCTGAATATGTTCGGTAAGTGAAGACTAGATTTTTGTTAGGCTGTGGTGGAGCCCTAGGATCTTTTAGAGATTATTCTTAAAAGGGGAAAACTGCTGCGATCAGAAGATGATCGACCCTAGGATCACCTCACGAAGGTTCGCACACAATTGATTGGTAGTGGTGGGCCCTTGACATCAATTCAGAGTGGATGTAAATTGATTGAGATGATAAAACATGCAAAACAAACGTATAAATAAGAGTACAAGATGGAATACAAAATGACCTAGCTAGCCATGTATTCTAAGGGGTACATTCCCTTATTGCAACGAAACTCAACTGTGCGACTCCAGACAGTTACGAAACTGTCCGGGCAAAATCATCGCCACTGCTGCTGCCGGATGCCATCTGCCTTGACGGTCCAGATGCCTCGTAACCGTATGACCCTTCGCGTCACTTCTGCCTTTTTCGTCTTCAGCCTCGTTACTGCGTGCTCCGATTGCTGCGGTAAGGAGTATACAGTAACACTTCACCTTTCACTATTTCTAGCAAAAACAACAAAGCACAACCTACCAGACACAAGAAAGCTAGCAAAAAACGGTCAGAGAAACGGTTGCCGCTTCACTGGCTTCGCAGCACCCCCAGCTCCAGTACCTCCAGTACCAGTACTGCCAGATTATGTTATTCAAGTATAATTGCATTGCTAGCTAGTAGTGTAGTATCACCCTTTCTTGTCGTTAGGTGGTCTACCTCCCTTTACCACCTCTCCTTTCCTATAACTTAAACTCCCAACGTTATAAATCCGAAACGTACACGCAGCTTCGCCAGAAACGTCGTGCGAGTAACGCGACATTTTCGATACAGGGAGAAAACGGTGAAAACTGTTTTTTAACTAAGAGACTTCGTGTAAACGGTAAATCCACACGAGTCTTCAGAATTGCCAACGAGAATTCATGAGTACTCATGTGTGGAGTCAGCAGGGCATTTGGCAGACATGAGAGTTGAAGACAGTTCTCTTCAACAGGCAAATCAAGCCAAATGCCGCAGCAGTTTGACAACCGTTTTATATGGCATATCTGGCGAAGTCCTCGACTCCAGTTCAACAACCGTTTTGTGTGCTTTCCTTCTGTGTGCTTAGGAGTTTATATAAAAAGCATGCTTGTACCTGGTTGAATTTATCAATGCTGTTATGCTTTCACTCTGGAATTCTACTACTACTTATTGACGAGAGTAGAAACGCCCACATGGTGCTGTCGAAAAGCTGCTCGACCAGATCTCTCACCCTACAAGCAAGCTAAGCATACTCCCTTATATGTTTTTTTAGACCCTTGGCTGGGAGGTGACAAGCTGTCATACTCGAAGGGTTTTAAGGGAAGTTAAGTGTTGCTAAGTTTCAGCTTGTATTCAAGTTTTAAACACTTCCATATAGCCTATAGCTTATAACAGAAGAACGTCGCGGGGAGCAGATTAAAAGCCGGTGGAACCGATCTGCTGCCCTACTCTGCCGTGGGGGGGGGGGGGGAGAGATGTGGGGGTGGCGGGGGTGACCAGCCAGCAACCCGTTCCTCTCCTCTCTTTTCCTGCAGGGCTTGACGCCGTGGAGAGGGGGGGGGGGGGGGGGGTGGGGGAAGGGGAGCAGGGTGAGGGGGTGGCGGAAATAGAAAGGTGCGGAGGGAGTGAGGTTAAAGGGGTTGACTGAAAAGAGGGCTGAGGACTTGGGGGTTATTAATGTTAGAAATATATATTGTAGCATGCCAACACTTGTGACTGTACACCAATTGTGGTGTACAGTTGGGTTGGGACTACACCCAACTTTGGGTGTAGCCTTGCATTGTGGGGTGCCAATGTGAAATAACGAGGAATGATTAACTAGGAAATATGAAGGGTACAAGTATGAAACCCTAGGAAACCGTACCCCTTAGTATCTACCCCACTACAGCCTAAATAAGGCTATATGATAAATGTTTGACACACCCCCATAGGCAAAGTGAGGGAGAACAAGGGATCACAAGACCAGTCAAGCAAAGCAAAGCAAAGCAAGCTCAGGGTGGATCACAATGTCACCACACATTCCGAGCACAGGTTCAAGGCCACAAGGCCAGTTCACATGCAGGAGGATATATATAAAGGTAAACAAGCAAGAGCAGATATATATAGATCACAGTACAGGCAAGGTCAAGAAGTGAGCAAGTGAGGCCAAGTAGGCACAAGACCTAGCATCGTACAGAAGCGTGATGATCACAAGGCTGAAGTGCCTTGGTAAAGATATCAGCAGTGTTGGCCCGAGAGGCCACGTAAGCAAGGCGCAGCTGACCACGCTGCTGCAGCTCACAAGCAAGGAAGTAGCGAAGAGCAATGTGCTTCGTTCTGTGCTCCAGTCTGTGCTCTCGACACAAGGCCAGCATGGCCTTGTTGTCTACGTACAGAACTGGAGGAGAACGAGGCGGCTCTCCTAGGTCAGTCAGCAGGTAGGTGAGCCAGCGTAACTCCTGTGCAGCCATGGCCCCTGCGTAGATCTCAGCCTCACAACTGGAGCCGAGAACAGAAGACGAGCGGGTAGACCGCCACGAAACAGAGCCGGAACCAAGGCTGAAGGTGTAACCCTGTGACGACCGGAACCGCAGCAGCAAAGCACTGGAACTCCTCCTGCCTGTCCTCAAGGACGTCCGTGCCAAGAGCACACTCACCCCCGATGGACGGAGGACAGACAGACCCAGACTCAGCAACAAGACTCGCGGCGTAGTCTAGACGACAGTGAGCAGCGAAGTCGACAAGCTCAGAAACTAAGGCAGACGCAGCAGTGGACTCAAAGGAAGGGTCAGTGACAACAGTAGCCAGGAGACGCGTGACAGTAGGACTTGCAGCACGAAGGGAGTCAGACTCCGGGTCAGCAAGAGCAGGAAGAGAGGACTCAGGAGGAGACGGCAAAGGGACACGCAGTGGAGAAGTGGAAGGACGCAGTGCCATCTGGTGCGTGCCCGGGACCGTAGGAGGACGCTGGGGTGGAACACGGCGACTAGTGCGACCAGCACGAACAGGCGACGCAGGACGAGACGCAGGCTCACGACGCTCAGCAAGACCTCCAGTAGGACCAGTGTAGGGAGGAGGAGCAGGCAGTGGGGAGGCGAACTGGAACTGTGACTCGGACTGGACAGGCGGTGGACACTCTAAGGAGGGAGCAGGACCAGTAGAATGCGAAAAACCAAGAACCTGCTCAAGGAGCGGAACGAAGTACGGCCGCGGTCGTGCAGCGCCTCCAGAACCAGCAGGGACAGCACCAGCACCCCCAGCGTCAGCACCAACACCAGCAGCACCACCAGCTCCAGTAGCACCCCCAGTAGCTCCAGCAGCGCCAACACCTCCAGCAGCTCCAGCTCCAGCAGGACCACCGGAAGACCCAGCAGCACCAGCTCCAGTAGTACCTCCAGCTGCACCTACACCAGCAGCACCTCCAGCTCCAGCACCAGCAGCACCACCAGGTCCAGCAGCTCCAGTACCGCCGGTACGAGCACCTCCGGGACCCGTGGCTCCAGAAACTCCAACAGCCGCAGAACCTCCAGCACCGGTAGCACCACCAGCTGCAGCAGCACGAGTCCAGCGGCGAGAAAACCACTCACGCAGCTCCTGGGGAGAGGGTAGCTCCCGCCGGGACGAAGCACCCGAAAGACCTTCAGGCCCAGAACCACCAGGCTCCACTCGAGCAGGCCCAGCACCCTCAGGCTCCGCAACCCCAGACTCAGCAAC